GGTCCGGTCGGTACGGAGGGACGGGGTCGGGGGGACGGACGGACGACACGACGCGAGGCGAAGACGTCGACGGACGCCACGACGCCCCCCCCCACCTGCCCTGCCTCTCAGGACTGCTCAGTCTGACCCCTCTGGCCCATCCTGTTGCGCCTCCCTGCCCGCTTAGGCTCTACCTGGCGCCTGGCCTGGCCTGGCCTGGCCGCTGCCACTGCTATTTTTATCCAGCAGCTGAAGCAGTTTGTATGCGGGAAACAGGAGGGTGGAGAGCAGAAGGGAAGGAGGAGGAAGTATGATTGGGAGGGAGGGAGAGACAGGCAAAGGCTGGGAAGAGGATGAAAGGGGTCAGGGACAGTGACGATAATGGAAGAAGGGACAGGAGGGAAACAGAAAGGAGACGGAGGGAGGGAGGGAGGGCGCAAAGCAAACAGATCAGCAGAAGCAGCAGCTGCAGGGGAGATGACTGAGGCCAAACCTCCCTCCCCAGGTCCCTCTGCAAGTCTGATGTCCACCCTCCCAGGGGTCCCTGAGCTCATGGCTAGGGCAGCCTCTGGAGAGCCTATCCCCTCCTGGCAGCACCCCAGACTCCAGCCTCTCTACTGGTAGCATCTTAATGGTCCTTCCCAGCCAGTGCCCGAAGGCTTCCTAGTTACTGGCCAGTTTTCCAGGAAAATACTTCAGGACAGGTGTGGGGACACAGCCCTCCCCTGACCCCTATTCCTGGTTCCAGGGTCACCCCCCCACCCAGTTCCTCTCTGACTCACTCCCAGGCCCCTGCCCTCTTCCCCTTTCTCTAAGTTAAAGAGAAGACCGTAGGGATAGGGGCAAAGGCCTGACTAAAGCGTAGCCCTAAGGCACCCAGCCTCCCCCCTCAGCATCCCTCCCCTGCTCCTTTCTCACTTGCTTGTGCAGGGGGAGGTGCCCTGGCACCAGCGGAGGAAACAGTTTTCCCTTGGATGGCATGGAAAGCCAGGAAGGCATGTGCTGGCATATCCCCCACGTGTGGGCCCAGGTCTGGAGCCAGGACTGCCGTTCTGGGTGAAGACTGGCTTCCTCACCCCCTGGGTCAGAACTCACCAGATACCCAGACTTGCCAGCAGAAGGGTCAGGGCAGAGGGGTCCCGGGCAGTCCGTGGGCAGTGATCCTAGCTCAAGCTCAGGCAGCAGGCCTTGTCCATGGGTTCCTCCTGAGTAAGGGTCTAGAATGAAGGCACACGGCGGCGTATCAGGAGAGAACTCACCAGGCCTCGCTGTGGGAGGGAGCAGCCCTATTCTGAGATGCCTCTCTGAACACACACACGACCAGGGAGATAAAACCCAGCCCTGTAGCTTGGGAGATAAGACAGCCAGCAGTCTCAGCAGGGGAGCTTAGGGGGTGGGTGAACTCACAGGTGCAGCCAGTGCTCCAGGCCCCAGGGACTGCAATGGCCAGCCCTGGGGACCCCAAGAAAGGACCTAAATGGGCCTTTCTACCACTCCCAGTAATTCCTCTCAACCCCTCCCTGAATAAACTCCAGCCTCTCCAGAGGCCTTCCTCAACCCCCCAGCCCACACCTGGGCTGCAGGACAGGGAGGGGAGGAGCAGACCTACACCCTTCCAGCTGGAGGCAGAGGTCTTTTTCCATTGTCCTTTTGACAGATATTGACCTAGGATCTCAGAGTGCCAGCCAGGCACTGTTGTAGGCACTTGGGACAGAATGGGGAACAACAGTGTTTACATTCTCTAGAAGGATGGGGGTAAGAGGGCTCAACCTGGGGGGATGGGCAGATGAGGCTAGGAATGCGGGTTTTCTATTAGGTAGCATGGGGGAACCCCCAGCTTCTCACCTCAGCCTACCCTGTGCTCACCTTCTGCCCCCACAGGCAAGATACTGGGCAGTAAAGAGCAGGTGCATTTCAACACAGATGGGAAACTGGGGTGGAGAACAGAGCATCTCCCCATCCTCAGTAAAATCTGTCTTAGACTAAGAGAAGTATTTATTTCTGCCCTCTCCCTCAGCTATACCCCTGCTCTCTGTTCTCAGTTGCCCCTACTCCAGTCCTAAGCACAATTCAATTCCAGGGGCAGCCTGCTCCCCTCGCCCGCACACTGAGTCAGCTGGCCAGCCCAGGTGTTTTGTTTTTGTCTGTCTTTGCCCAGCAACAAACAGGGATTTGATATCAGCTTAGAGCATCTGGTGTCCCTCCAGCCATGCCTTGGCCTGCCTGAGATGGGGCCCTGAAAGCAGCCACCTCCCAACTGAGCACCTCCCCAACCCTGGACCCCCAACACCTCTCAGGCACCATGGCTTCTAGAGATATCCTTGTGGTAGCATCAAATTCTCCACTTCCCTGGATCCCATAAGGGGCCAGCCACTACCTACAGATACCCTCTCTTGCCTTTGGACACCCTCGCAATCACCATAAGCTAGTACAAAACTCTCTCCATTGAACAGATGGGGGCAGCTGAAGTTCAGAGAGGTTGAGTCATTTGCCTAAGATAACAGAGCTAGTGAATGGGTGAGCTGTAACTCAAACACAACGTGCAGCTTACTCTAGGCTCCTGCCAGGATGGGAAGCGAGGTGTAAAGGCTGCTTCCCAGCCAGCCCCATACACTCAGAGGTGGGGGTACTCTACGCCATCTAAGCAGAAAAAATAAGATAGAGGCCAAGGTCATCTCCAGCCTGACTTGAGTGTCAGGTGGCACTCCCCCATCCCATTCACACATTCTGGCAAGCAGAGCTCGCACAGGCGGGAGGACAAGGCAAGAGGGTCTGGAGGTGACCGGAGAGGAATGGGCAAAGGGGCGGCCCCAAGAGGGGTAAGAGACAGGGGTGGGACCAGCCCTCATCTACCACCGCTCGACCCTGGGAGTAAAATCTGGGGTGTGTATGTCCTTGTTCTCTGGGAGTAAATGAGGACGCGCCCAGGAAGGGGAGGCCAGGGACACGAGTTCCGCCAATAAAAGGCGGGGGTTAAAGAAACAGCTCCTCCACCTCCATTCTGCTCGCCCACATCCCCATTCCCCGCACCCAGAGCAGTTAATGGTACCGGCCCCTCCCCGGTACCAACGACAAGATTGATCGAGATTAACCATCAACTCGCCCGT